TCAATTTAATGTGCACTATTTCTGGCAGTCTGCTTAGGCCCATATATGTCTTTCAACAGGTTCTCCCATTGGCCAAGTCCAGTGGGAAATTCTGTAGTTTCCAAAAAGTAACTTTTTCAGCTCTGGTTTTGGATAGATTAGATTTCTGCTAGAATCACACTGTCAACTATTTTTCCCACTTGTGTCAATCCACTCACCCCTTTCTACGGCTGCACCTGTTCTGTAGAAATAATGTACTTTGACACCACTTTAATTGTCATGGCTCAAGGCTATGGAATTCTGGGATGTGTAGTTTGTTGTGGCGCCAGAACTCCTCTGTCAGAGAGTTAAATGTCTCACAAAACTTCAATTTCCCAGAATTCCTTACTATTGAGCCATGGCAGTTAAAGTGGTGTCAAACTGGATTATTTGTGCAGTGCGGATGCAGCCTATGTGAGACTCTGCACCTGCTTGTAGTAATCAATTCCAGCCTGTGAAAGCGATTTAAAGTCTTGGAGCTCAATTATTTATTCATTTATTTTCATTTCATCGTGGTTTGGGAAGATAGCTTCCTCTCCAGCCTTACCGCTCATTGCAGAAAAATGTTCTGTTTTGAAACTTAAGGGCCTTTGCAGACTGCTAGAAATAGTGCAAATTGAGTCCACTTTAACTGCCCTGACTCAGTGCTAGGGAATCATGGGAACTGTATTTTTTTCTGAGACATTGAGCCTTCTCTGTCAGAGAGCTCTGGTGCCACAATAAGTTACAGTTCCCATAATTCCCTAGCACTGGAGTCAGGGCAGTTAAAGTGGACTCAATTTGCACTATTTCTGGCAGTCTCCTGTTTTTACGAACTTCTCGAAAGACTTTGGGCCTAAGCAGACTGCCAGAAATAGTGCACATTAAATTGAGGCACTGCCCTGGCTCAGTACTAGGGAATCATGGGAACTGTAATTTATTGTGGCACCACAGAGAAGGCTCAATGTCCCAGAAAAAAATCCAGTTCCCATGATTCCCTAGCACTGAGCCAAGGCAGTGCATCAATTTAATGTGCACTATTTCTGGCAGTCTGCTTAGGCCTTTTGTATTTCCGAGGACTCATGGGAAAGTGTGGGAGACACCTGAAAACCTAAAAGCAGTAAGGTAGAAGGAAAGGGATCAGCGCATCTTATTTAAATTCTGATAATAACGCACAGGATGATGGAGAGTCTTAGGGAGGCTCCCATTTGTGTATCTAGGCTGGAATTTAAGTATGGTGTTGTGGCTTGAGACCAGGGTCCCAATCCTCACTCAGAGAGTCAGACGCACTGGTTGACCTTAGTCAAGTCACACTCTCTCATTTCCTTTAAAAAGGCAATGGCAAACTTCCTCTGAATAAATCTTACCAGTAAAACCCTATCTATAGGCTCAGGATAAATGCGAGTCGACTTGAAGGTACACAACAACAAATGTCCCCCAAACTCCTCTGAGGGCCTTTGCAGACTGCCAGAAATAGTGCAAATTGAGTCCACTTTTAGGGTTAGGGTTAGTGCTAGGGAATCATGGGAATTGTTTTTTCTCTCTGAGACATTGAGCCTTCTCTGTCAGAGAGCTCTGGTGCCACAATAAAATACAGTTCCCATGATTCCCTAACCCTAACCCTAACCCTAACCCTAAAAGTGGACTTAATTTGCACTATTTCTGAGTTTGCGCTCTCCTGAAGCTGGAAGACAGTGTAATATTGTGGTTACTTTATTTGACTAGAAACACGGAAGTTGAGATCCTTGGTCAGCCATGAACCTTGCTGGGCAATTCAATATTGCTCAGCTGATCTTACTCCACAAGATTTTTGGGAGGATAAAATGGAGGGCCAACCATGCAAGCTAGCCTTGGAGGAAGGTTGAATGTATACTGAATAAATAAATTCTGTAGTTAGCAGTGAATATAATTCTTGCTGTGAACAATTTTCTGCTACTTCACAAGATAGGGACACTTAGGGAAATGGCCAGGACGCAGAATTTGCCTTTTTTTTTTTTTTTTTTTTTTTTTTTTTTTTTTTTTTTTGTCTATGCTTCGGAAATAGATGTCCACAAGATAAGAAATTCCGGCAAGTTAATCCACAGTTGCTTTTCCTGGTTTTGAATCCGGAAGACCCAGCCGCCTGGTCCAAGGCACCCTTGTCAGTGCAGTTCTGAATCCAGAGAAAACAATGTTTCGAAAGGAAATAGGCACCTATACAAGAGCCAGAGTACAAAAATCATTACTAAACAGCTCCTTTCATCATATCCTGAAGAGAAACCACAGGCTTCCGGTGACGACTTCAGTGTCGTAGGCGTATCCTACTGCTTTGCAGAGAGAAAAAGACCAAATATAATGGAAGATATTTCTCTGACGATGCCAGCCACAGATGCAGGCGA